GCATTTACGTGGGCCAAGACTCCATGGTTTTGAGCACCGCAGTACTACATGCATTTCACATGATTTTGTACCCTATGGCCAATTGACGCTAATCGCGAACGATCTCTCACTCGTTAGAACTTGACAACATGATGAGGTACTGTAATGAGCAGATGATCAAGTACTATGTATCTGTGGCTTGCTAGATGTGTTTCTGTCCTTTTTAGGCAGCTAGTAGCAATCAGCCGTTCAGGACGCCGTGAAATTTGGTCTTGGAGGAGTTATGCGTTATATGGCTTACTTAGGCTTACAAAAATACATTGCCGTTTATGCGAAAACGGCGTCAGAGAAATCTGAGACACCGGTTTGGTCAGGTCGAAGGGAGGTACGCAAATGCAGTACACATGAGGTCATCTATTTTTCAGCAGTCCGACATTACGGTGTAAACAAAAATTTAAATGAAAATAAGCAGTGATGTTCAGGACAGACGCTTATTCCTTAGGGGTTGGCCGTTGGAAAACTGTATGATGATTCTTTTCAGTGAATCAGGTACGGTACCACGGAGTGTCATAAACCTTACAATCTCACTTCTGGGGTGCGGAATGGTGTAGGTTTCTGTCGTGAACTCTACCCTGGAGCGCTGCTCCACAGTCACATGGTATAGTAGCTCTCGCTACAACCAATTGAACCAATATCCTATGCTGCATATAATCGATTCTGCTTTACATGCCAGTTCGATCACGTTACAAGTCATCGTCGAACATCTATACCTTCTCGATGAAATTCAATTCACTCAGCTGTTGAAGCCCTTAACCACTGATGACGATTGTAACAGCAAAGCCATAATCTCTTACTTATCATTATTCGTTAATTTTAGGTCGTGTCGCCATCGGAACGATCTCTTCTATGCTTCCTGGCCTGTCATCACATACCACAGATCTGTTAATCACCAGCACCGGTAAAACTACATACACCAATGCTGTTTTTTGCATGTTTTGCGTGCTTTGCTTATTGTAAGCGTCAAGGTAAAGATTTTGTTAGGTCTTTCCTTGGCTGTTGGCTATGCGCTGCCAGATTGTGGCTTTATCGCGTCATGTGTCAGTTCATGTACACTTTGTTGATGGTAACGCGACAATAGATATAGCAATGATTGTGGAGTAGCTGGTTTGTTAATATGTTGAAAAGAATGTATGATTCACTCGCTGTCACTTTTTAGGGAGTGACCTACAGTTTGGAGATACTGACTGAGGTAGCTAGACTTTCATTGTCTTGCGTGTTTCAGAACGACTCCCAGCGACCTTGCATTATTTAGCGTCTCTTCTGATACATTCAGTGCAACGTTTGAAGCGCTTTGTTTCTGTTTGCACCTAAATGGGAGATAGAGCCCTTGATTTAATGATTACAAGTATGTAATGACGGGTATGACCGAAGAAAACAAAGTTCCTTCGAATCTCACTGTTGTGAGATTGGACAGAGTTTGGAAAACAAGTCTATGATACATACTTTGTAGACTGGTTCTTCTCCAAGCGAAACGATACAATTTTGATGGTTTTTGCGGTCTTCAGCATAGTAAATGAAAGACTCGCCACAGTCGCACTCTCTTTGTAAAATTGCCCCGTTAAGGGTGGCCCATGGAATCATCTGAACACCGGACTCAACATACTTGATCGCGCCGTGGATTCCACTTCGTTGAAAATACTTGATTAATGAGAAACTGAGACCTTGGAAAAGTTCCTAATAATTAATTACCTACGCCGGAAACCCGTAATAACGAACTGAGAAAGTGGATGAATGAATGGATGTTCGGTTGTGTGACGCCCTCGCAAATCACCGTAAC